TTTGGTTCAGGGTAGTATCTAGTCGAGCACTCTCGACTAGAGTTTTCTTACTTGTTCAGTTATAAGAATAATAGTCACTAGTTATGCTATTTACGCGCAAGCGAATCGTAATTGAAGAATTTAATCGTCATATTTGCCCAATGACAGCTGCTGAGTTCAGTTTAGATGGGACGCCACTCCATCTACATATATGCATATATTAGAATACCCATTGAAAATCGTTACTCAACAGGTGTAATATACCACAATTATATTCCGATATAAGGAGATAAAGTATATATACCGATATATGTACATATGTAGATAGATTCGTCTATCCGTCCGTTCCTCTGTCCGTCCGTCCTTTCTGCTATCTCTACTCTCATCTGTTTATTCGATTAACTATCCATTAGTCTGTTAGCTAACCTTTTTTACAGGCCGATGAGCTGGGTGAATCTACGTCCGATTATCTGTCCGTCCGTCGGTCTATATATCCGCCTGTCTTTACGTCTAGCTGTTCATCAGTTTGTTCGACTTTCTATCCATCATTTCGTTATGCCTTCATTCGTCATTCTATCCATCCGTTTAGTTTTCATCCAATACCATATTCCGTATTCCTTTCAGGCTGGGTATTTGCTGCTCGTGCACATCCAACTGGAGGCACTCTTAATTGATGAATTTTTTGTTGTCTGTTTTTTCTTTTTTGGAAATTTGTTTTGCTCTGGGGGCCGCTGCTGACAGCAACGAGTAAGAAGAACCACTATTTGGTGTCTGAGTGCACTCATGAATACTTTTGAATACTTTTGGCGCTTGGCACGTGGGTGGCCGGCAAATGCGGAAGCGGCACTTGAGAAGCTACACAAATGACGGACAGATAGACAGAGACAGAGACAGAGGCAGAGGCTCACACTCTCACTCTGGGTAAGAGTGAGAGATACTGGATCTGTTAACTTATAGTTCTATATGTACATACATACATATCTTGTATCTCTTAGGCATATTCGCAACGCTTTTAATGTTGATTATCATCATCAAGTGGGTGTTTCTACATGAATGAAAATATTTAAATGGCAGCGCAAAAGGCGCACCAAATCTCAGCATTCGCATCTGTATCTACATATGTATCTGTGAGATACACAGATGTCTATCTATCTATATACGTATCTGTACATTCGTATCTCTGTATCTTTGTTGCTTGGTGTGTCGCTGTGTGCGAGCAATCGAATCAAGAGACAAACTGGGTAATTGGTTCATTATATTGTAGAAGCCAACGACATCCGCTCGTTAATGTAAATTACACAATAATTTAATGTTATTATTATTTTTGTCGAATTTATTGTGTTTTTGTTTTTGTTTTTTCCTTTTTTTTCTGTTTGGCTTCATTCCCAATTTGTTGTTTTTACATATGCATATATCTCATTTTTTTGAGCCATATCTCATTTTTTTCCATCCAAAGGATAAAAAAATTTGGGCCTCCTTTTTTGGGAGATCAAAATTTAACACTTTCCAACACTTTTCTTTATTGCCTAAATTTTTAAATGTTTTTTTTTTATTACATACTAGCTTAAGTTGTTACATGAACTGAAACTTAATTATCTAATAATTCTTTATTCTAGCACAAAAAACTCATTTAAGCTAAAGCACTTCGAGTTCCACAAATTATATGTACGTTGCTTTCAGGTGGGATGAGTTACAACTGGGAATATATGATTAACTATATTAGTTATCACAATTGCAGTTGTATTTACTTGCTTATTCATAACAACAAATGGGCTGAACAAGTATTTTTCGATTTGCAACGCCCCGTAGTGGGCGAATCGGGAAAATCTTGACACGTTACACATATAAATAAACATTATAAGAGTTCCTACATTTATCTTAACTTTAGATTAGTATAGCTGACGTAAATCTACATAACTCAATCCGAATTTTATGTACATTTACATTACACAGATATTAAAGATAATTATTGTTTAGGCATTTCCATGATTATTTCAACTATATGATCTTGAGTTTAGCAAGAACTGCAAGAGATTAACCATGATCTGATACTCTACAATATAATGCTAAAAAACAATAATCGAACTATGCGAGTGTTTACTGTATTCTAAATTTAATAATAGCAATAAAACTAAAAACAAAAAACAAAAACAGCAAAAACAACAACAAATTGTAGCTTCTATGCAAAGAAATTCCAATTTCGAGAAGAAAAAAAAAAAATTGAAGAATGAAAATGAAGAGAATAAATAAATTAAACGAATTCTTGTCGCATGCTCTTAAGAACACAGCGAGCACAGATAAAGAGCGATGCAGAGCGAAAGAGCGAGAGAGAACGAGCGAGAGAGAGAGAGGGAGCGGGAGAGTGCGAGAGCTGCTGATAATGCGAGCGGCAACAACAAAATGTGAAATACAATGGGAATTATCAGTGGACGGCGTGATATGATTATCAAAAGGTTTCTTCTCTTCTGATTGTTGCTGTTGTTGTTGTTCTAGTTGTTGTTGCTGTAGCCGCTGGCAACGGCATTTCTCAATACACATGCTACATATGTAAAACAGTTTATTTGCCTCACACACACATGCACGCCGCCACATACATACATACACATATAATATATAATATATATATATATATACTCTACATATGTATGTATGTATGTACAAATTATTTTCGACGTGCTTTGATAGTCCAGCAAAATAAATAAATGCAAAAAAAATAAAAATAAAAAATTTACAAAAATTATATAAAAATAAAAAAGAAAAGAGAAACAAATACAAATACAAAATAAATAAACATTGTTCTTAATGTTGCTAAGGAAAATGTCACGTTTTAATAGAGTTCACTCTATGAAAAGCTTGAAGCACCGCAACGTAGGCAAATGACAAAGATGAGCTAGCAAATACCCTGTAAATAGTTTACATTGCGAAATACAATCAGATACATAGCTTACAAAATTTAAGTAAACTTAGTTTATATAATGTAAATAGCTCTATGAAAAAATAAAAATAAAATAACTAATATATAATACATGCATGCAAGATAAATTATAAGTAATTACAAGTTTATTTTATTTTCTACAGGGTTTTTTTAGGAACCAATGAACAGAAAAAAGGACTATAACTGTAACTACTCAAATAATACTGTTAAAATTATGAGGTACAGTTGTAGGTATAAGCGTATGTGCATGTGTGCACATGCACTAACACACTATTAACTAGCTTAAAACTAAGCAAAAAATATTAGTTAGGGCATTTAAGCTCGCTCGTTGGCTAACTGCATTCACAGCTTGCAGAGGCAACAAGTTGGCAGCACCCCAAAATGACGGGACCGTAATAAAACCATGAAGGAAAAAAGGAAAACAAAACAAAACAAAAACACTTTCATTGATAAAAAAAAAAAAATAAGAAAAAAAAAACTAAACAGCAGCAGCAGCAGCAGCGTATAAAGATCAACGGCTGCTGCTGCTGCTATTGCACTTTGTCTTGCGGCTTTCGTTTTACACTCTCCCTCTCGCACTCACACACATGCACAAACGTGCACACACTTGTGCATATACTTACATTTGTTTGTCCAAAGTAGCTGGCAACAACAACTACTCTGGCATCAATCAGCCGCAAAGCCTCGTCGTCGACAATTGAGACTAACCAACATTAAACTGTAACTTCCTCACACGCACGTACACACATACAAACGCATTGACAGCGACACATTCGCACACATGCAAGCACTTTTTATATATATATATATAAATATACAGATATATTTTTATTTTTACATGACATGTGTTGTAAATTTTTGCACTAATTTAGTTCGCTTTGGTAAACAGGTTCACTCAACAAAAAATAAGCAAAAAAAAAAAAAAAAATTAACAAAATTAAATTTACGAAAAAGAAGGATATTTGTAACTGTAAACACTGCGATCGAGTTGCGCGCGCGCATTTTAAGTCTCAGCGGCGCAACAACAGCAACAACAACAACAGGCGGCAACATATATTGAATTAAACAAAAACATATATGAATGTATATATGCATATATTTTAAATAAATAAAGAGCGCACAATTTTAATTTAATAAAATTCACGTACACACACAGACAGAGCCATGTATATTATGCATATGTACATAAGGCGCTGTCTTTTGTTGTTATTATTATTATTACTATAGTTGCTGTTGCTGTTGTTGTTGCTATTGTAGCTACTGCGGCGACTACTACTTCGCCGATCGCACACCGCATGAGACGCACGAAGTGCACGACGAACGATCTGACACGCACGAAATGCAAAAACGCACTGAAAATGATATTTAAAAGAGAGTAGCGACATTTTATTATTTACGAATGCTCCACGCAGATATGGTCAGATATGTCAGGCGAATTCAATTGGAAATGCTTAAAGCGCTTCTTGCTGCAGTCATAATAATGGCGTATTTTCCATATTAAATCCAATTGTATAGTTCAATAACAAATTGTAAATGCAAAAACCAAAACGTATGAAATCAATTCAAATTATAATCAAAATAACGCAAATACTCTAATTGGCACTGTTGTGCTCAATGGGAGCTGTTAAACGTGCTATGCCAGCATGATACTTGATCGTTTCGTATGTTATCACAGATCACGGTTCTAGTAGAAGTGCTTTTAACCGGCCTGATATTTCATGTTTTATTTATTACGCCACTGTTAATAACAGCGAACATGGATGCGTTGACATACCAGAATGTTGCCGTTACTTTTTATTGGCTGAATTTTTTATTTGGGCTCGTTAACAGACTGAATTAGCTCGAATTGAGAGAAGCTAATATCTTCGGTTCCACTGTCTTATAATAAAATCAAAAAAAAAAAAAAAAAAAAAACGTTTGCAACTGTCACTTAAACAACCAACAAAATTAAAATTAATACCGCTTATATTTTGTTAAGCTAATTGCTCTTAAACTAGCCGCGCTGTTAACACGGAATGCCTGCGAGCACATTCACATTGGAAAAAATGGATCCAGTTCAATGGTTCAAGTAGCTCAATTTGCAAGATATGTTAAAATGAACAGCTGCACAAAATTTTTGTTTAGCCCTTCGACGGTTTATGTAATAAATTATAATTTATAATATTGCCCATTTTTGATTTTAGTATCAATTAAATTAATAAACATTGAAACATTTTTTTTTTGTATGAACTTTTTTTATTTAAACATACATATATTACAGAAAAAATAGTTACTCACTTATGGGTTAACTGATTCCGTTTTACAATTGAATCGATTGCCGTTAGATTAATAGCAAAAATGAATATTGAGGTTTTGTTATTTATTCCGCAACCTTTCTAAAACTATAAAGTTAACTGTTTGCTAATCAATTACATTTAGTTTTTCCTTTAGCGGCCAGCAACAGAGACTATGAGCATTTTGTTTACATGCCAAACACAATACCGAACAACAGGAAAGGAGACAAATCCTTGCTTAGTCCTTAAACTTGCCCAGTATGATGTCCCTGTAGAAGGGCACGCAGTTCATGCGGACATTGAGACGAGCGCAGAGCAAAAAGATGCCCGACAGCTTGCGATGGATGGAGTAGATCTCCTCCGGCGGCGGGCAGAGGCGATGCGCCACCATCGTTGGCACCAGAGCGGCCAATCTCTCCGTCGTATTCTGTTTGCCGAAATCAAAGTCGCCGTCGTAGCGAAAGATCTCGCCGAGGATCATCACCGCATCGACATGCGCCTGCTCCATTTGCTTCGTCTCGTAGCCGGTGAGGAAGCCCATCTTGCGCGACATCTCGAGGACGCCGTTGCGATTGTTCTGCGCCGCACTGATGATCACCTGGCGATAGTTCCGGATGAATTCGTGCTTGTAGAAGCGCGTCGATCCAAAGTCAATCAGCATCAAGCGTCGACTGTTCACATCGTATAGGAAATTCGACCAGTTCGGATCCGTTTGCATGCACTCAATCTCGAAGAGCTCGCGCAGGCAGAGCTTTAGTACCGAGGCGGCGATGTGAGCGCGATGATCGTAGCTGCAGGGAGGAAAAATAGAATAAGTGAGTTTGAATAGAGTTAAGAGAGAAAAAAGTGAGGTTAAATTTGGTTAAGGTAAGGCTAAAGCGGCTAAAAAATTCAGTTATAGGGGTAAGAGTGAATAAAGTGAGGTTAAATACGATTAAGATGTAAAGTAGACCTAAAATGTAGCAGGAATCAGCAAAGTCAGGACTAACGGAGAATAAAGTGAGGTTAAACTGAGTTAGGATTAATTAAATTAAAGTGAGTTTTTGGGACAAAGGGGTTGGTTCAATAGATTCACGGAACTAGTAGAAAATAACATATGAGCTAGTTCAATATATGTGACGCACAGCGAACAAAAATATTGAACTGTGAACTAAATACTTATAGTTCACGGGGAACCGGTTGAAAGCTGCAAATGAAAACTGAACCAGCTACATGTGCATCTATCCCTGTCTAATCAATGACATCAGCTTAAAGGAAAAACGTTGAACAGCTAATAATAATGACGTAATGAATATTAAAGACTTCACTGGAGTCAGCGATGTACAGAAACTTAAAAATGAACCATTGCAACATTTAGACTCCAAAGTGAACCAGTGGAGTAGTAGAGCTTAACTTGTCTGGCCAATGGCATAGCTTAAAGTGAATGAATATAGTTGAAATAGATGGTCAAGGGAGACTAACTCATTTTTCACTCGGAACTAGTCAACAATAAGCCAGTTGGACACAATCAATGGTAGGAAGGGATAGCCATAAGGGTTTCATTCGGAACTAGTAAACAATGAACCAGTTTTGTGCCTATGCAATTTGAGAGAACTGCAAATCTACGACTGTATGTGTCTACCGAATTACACTTTTGGAACTAGTGAACTACTGGTTCACAACTGCAACTCAAGAGAGATTAGTAATAATTGTAGATCCTGCTCTAATCCAGCACTCACCTGAGCTCAAAGCACTTGTCGAGTGGTACACCCGGAACCAGTTCCGTGGTGAGCACACTGGCGGTGGTCAGCTCGCGCACCACCTTGGGCACGTAATACTCCTTGTAGGGCGCTATCATCTGCCGGAACTTCTCCGTATATTCCGCCTCGCGCGCATAGTCCACCTCCCATTGGAGCTCGCGCTTGGCCACACGCACCACATTGTCGATGAAGAAGCCCTGGGGGAAGACGTCCCAGACCTTGAGCATGCCAACCAGATTGTCGATGTCGCTCTCGATGCTCTGGGCAACGCCTGGATATTGGATTTTGATGGCCACCTCCATGCCGTCCAGCAGCGTGGCCCGATGCACCTGCCCGATGGAAGCCGCCGCGAACGGCTTCTCGTCGAAGGTGCGCAAACGCTTCCGCCACTCCGGACCCAGTTGGGTGGTCATCACGCGCTCCACCTGCCAGTCGGGCATATAGTCGGCCGCCTGCCGTACACGCTCGAACGCCTTGGCCAGCTGCGGCGAGACCACGTTCGTGTCCTGTATGCTGAGGATTTGGCCGATCTTCAATGCTGCACCGCGCACCTTGCACAGCGTGTCCACGATCCGCTCCGCGTTCGCCGGACTGAGCAGGGCATCGCGCATGTTCGTCGATCCGCCCAGGCCGAGGGCGCCCTTGGTCAGCTCATTGATGGTGCCCAGGCCCAGGCCGGCGAACAGGCCGCCAAACGAGGCCATCCGTCCCAGGCGCGATGCCGGCACCCGCCTCTGCTTGGCCACCTTGCTCAGCTCCGGCAGCGTCGATTCCTTGGCCGGCGGAGCAGCTGCAGCAGCTAGAAATGTGCAACATGTCAGATGTAAAGCATGTCTCGAAATAAATGGAAATTTCGCTCGAATCGATTTCATTTTGAGAAATGACAATCAAACTGGTCCAAAATTGAAAGCTAGCAGAGGGCCATTCCAATGCCTTCTTAGGGAAGGGGGTGAAACACGTGGAATGTGAAATATATCAAAACATTTGAAATTGAAACACGAAGACAAAAAGGAGCTGGTAATTCATAATAACTTTACATAGCGAAACATGTGGAATCGGATCACATGAAGATTTAGATCAATATAGCATAAGTGGAATATGAACAGAAATAGAATTGGAATTAGGGCAATGCTGATTCGCATTAAATTTAGATTCGCTCAGCATGCAACGAAATGGAATTGGAGAAATTAAATTTTAATAACAAATAGTATCTAGGTCTTAAAAGCGAGAGTGAGATCTTGGGGGAACAAATGGAAATGGCACACCGGCACTGCATATGAAGACTCACTCCAAATGAGTTTATAGTTTCAAGTTATAAAACTCCGATTTTGGGGAAACAAATGAAATTGGAACGCCGCATATGCACATTCACTCAAAATGGAATTGAAACAAGGGAAATATAGAAAACTCTTCGCATGCCTACCCTTATTTCCAGCTGTTTCGGCCGGAGATACCGTCGAGGTGCCGGCCACAAATCGCATCAGATTGTCCACATATTCGGTGTCCTTGGCCAAGATGCCGTCGCCGCCAACGGGCTCGGGTGGGATAGGTGTTGCCTTATGCTGGGCTGCCTTCGGATCGGGTGGGGGCAGCTGCTTGGTCTGCGTGTTGGGCGTGCGCAGGCTGACGTTGCGATTCATGTTGCGCTTGGAGAGGATCTCCTCGAATTCGAGCAGCGTTATAGACGAGATATCCACGGTGGATGCGTCGGCACCATCCAGATGGCTGCGGCTCGACCGCTGGCCCTGACCCTGACCGCCGGCCGTGCTGCCAGCTGTCGCCTCACCAGCTGCACCGCTGCCAGAGCCACTCGGCTGCCAATTGAGGCGCTGTAACGTGCTTAGGTCGCACGGCAATTTGGTCTCCAGCAGCTGGCACAGGCCGTGGGCGACAACGTAGCCCCGTTCGCCGGTCTCCTGGATCAGTTCTTGAGCCTTGCGCAGTCGGTCGCTCGGATTTTCGCTGGCCTCACGCAACGCGTCCACCGTCTGACTCACATTCACTGAGATCAGTTCGCGCACACTCGAGTTGCTCCACAGATGTTTAGTCAGCGACAGATGCTCGCGTCCGCACGCCTCCGCAACTATTTGCAGACCGCGCAGCACGCCCAGCACGTCTTGCGCCGACCGTGTCATCTCGTTTGACCACTTCACAAACGAGTGGGCGATCAATTGTTGCTGTTGTTGTCGCTTGTGTTGTTTGTTTTGTTTATTCGCTCTTGTTGCCGGTCGTTGATGGCGCTGGCGTTGCAACTTATGGTGCTCTACGGCATCTGTGTGCGTTGTTGGCACGGCCGAAAATTGTGTCTAAAATGGAAAAACGTCGTTTGTAATTTAGTTACGTAAACGTAAATAAATAAACTTGCACGATTGTTGCGAAATTCAAAATCAGCTGTTGGCCAAATATGTTTAACTCGTTCAATTGCACATGGGTCATGGCAGTGTTGGCAAAAGCGTAAAAGTCTTAACAGTTCTGTTAACGTATGCACAGTTTAATAAGCTTAATTTTAATTAGAAGGCTTTTTCATAATTTCTTATATAAGTTATAGCGAAAAAAAGAAAAATAAACAAAAATTTAAATAAAGAACATGCTTGTTTTAGTTACGAAAATGTTTGTAAATTATAGGTGCCAAATTTTGAAATCAGCTGTTGTCCATAAAGTTCACAGAAGTTCACAAAACTTGATTCATTGCTGGCAGAAGCTAACAGCATTCTGTTAATACTAACGGCTGCTTATATATTAAATTTTGTCTTAGTCGTATCCTTATTGGCTATATGAGCTATTTTAAATATTTTTAATATTTGTAAAAATCATATTTATTTACTCTGTAAGTTATATGATTAACTGGACTTTAAAGTTTGCTTGTACGTGCTTGTACTCAGAATGGCGCTGTTAAGCACAAATCACTCAATTGAACTGGTTCGCAAGCACATGCCAAAGCCAATGTTTACAATTTGAATTGAAATGTGCGGCATTTTTTGTGCAATTGGACAAAATAATGATGCTAGTTGTCATTTACATAGCGCTTTGGAGCAGCTGCTGCACAATCGTGGGCCGGACGTCCAGGATAAACTCATAGTTGACAATGTGCTGCTAGCCGGCAATGTGCTATGGCAACAAGGCGCTGCGCCGCAAAAGCAGCCGCTAGTCGAAAACGATTTGGTGCTGCTTTTCAATGGCGATCTCTACAATTTGGATGAAAAGAAAGTGGAGAGCGAGGCGGACAGCGCCTGGCTAATAAAAGAGCTTAACAAATGCAACATGTCGGACGATGAGCAGCTGCTGGCGCTGCTGCGGCAGCTCGAAGGCCCCTACTGCCTGATTCTATACAACAAGTGAGTGTGACACTATAACATACCCTGTACAGAGCTATACTAATAAAGCTATACTCGCAGACGTGAGAAGGTTCTATACTTTTGCCGCGATGCCCTGGGCCGCAATTCGCTAATCATTGAACGCCACGCCAACAACTGCCTGAAGCTGATGAGCACCTCGTGCCCCGTGCTGGAGCACATGGCCTCAGCTGCCCTGGAGCTGCCACCGCTCGGTCTGTACAAGCTGCCCTTGGCGCAGCTCAACGAGTGTTGCCTGTATCCCTGGCAAGCGCTGAACGAGCAGACGCAGCAACAGCTCTCCACCTTGGAGACTGCCATGGACTGGAGCATGCGGCTGGGGCAGACCATTGCGCCGTCCTGGCTGCTGGACAAGCCCCTGCAAGTGAGCAGCTTTGATCTCTATGCGTTAGCAGCGGGTGACATCCCATTGGAGCTGCTCCACGAGCGACTGCTGGGTAATGAAGCCGTGCAGCAGGCGTTGAACCAACTGGACGAGCTACTCCAACGGTCGGTGGCTGCGCGCGTGCTGCACACAGCGCCCGTTTGCCGGCTATGCAGTGGCAGTGACAGGAGCGATGCCAGGTGCTCGCATGCCAAAGTCTGCATACTATTCTCGGGCGGCATAGACTGCAGCATTCTAGCCGTACTCGCCGACAAATATGTGCCCGCCTCGGAGCCCATCGAGCTGATCAATGTGGCCTTCGAGCGCGTGGCCGCCGCTCCGGATGAGAGCTGGAATGTGCCGGATCGCCAAACATCGCTGCAATCGCTGCTCGAGCTGCAGCGCCTCTGCCCGCGGCGCAGCTGGCAGCTGCTGCAGGTGAACGTCAGCCGAGAGCAGCTGCAGCAACAGCTCGCGGCGCACATCCGGCAGCTCATCTATCCGCTGCGAACGGTGCTGGACGAGTCCCTGGGCTGCGCCTTTTGGTTTGCCGCCGCCGCAGCCGACTCGACCGCGCGCGTCGCGCTCCTGGGCAGCGGCGCCGACGAGCTCTTTGGCGGCTACACGAGGCATCGCAATGCGTGGCGTCGCGCTGCGCCCAGCGCCGCGGCACGAGAGCTGGCGCTGCGCCAGGAACTAGAGATGGACTGGCAGCGCATACCCGCACGCAATCTGGCGCGCGACGATCGCATCATCGCCGACTGCGGCAAGACGGCGCGAGCGCCCTTCATCGAGGAGCATCTGGCGCAGTTCGTGCGCTCGCTGGCGCCGCAGCAGCGCTGCTGCTACGCCCTGCCCGAGGGCGTCGGCGATAAGCTGCTGCTGCGCCTCTACGGCCAGCGCCTGGGACTGCGCGATGCGACGCTGCTGAAGAAGCGCGCCATCCAGTTCGGGTCGCGCATCGCCGACAAGAAGCAGCAGGCGACGCAGATCTCCGAGTATCTGCGATTCGATTCACTCCAGTCGAATGGACTACAGTGAGCTCTCGCTGCAGCTCACGAAATGGCATATTGTGAAAAGTGTATAACAGTTTGAGTGCGCATCTAGTAACAGTTGAGCTACAACAAATTGATTTGTTCTACAAGTTGTATAACAGCTCGGGTAGAATTCTAACTATGGAGTCCATATGAAATTGTATAACAGATTGAGAATAACGTCTATACGATTAGCTGTGCAAATTGTATAACAGATTGAGAATAACATCTCCTATACAATTAGCTGTGAAAATTGTATAACAGATTGAGAATAACATCTCCTATACAATTAGCTGTGGTATACATTCATTTATAGACTGTACATAAATATTGTAAGTAAGAAAAACTGTTATATATGCTGGTGTAATACTAAGAAACAAACTGTTAAATCAACATTAAGTTAAACTACATAGTTATTGTATGACAGTACAAGTCTCAAATCCGGCCATAAATGTAGCTTGTTATGTGTTGTATAACAGTTTGAACGTGGCTATATATAATTGTATAACAGGCTAGTCATAACTCTGAGAGTAGTTGAAGCATATTCTTTCATTTTGTATAACAGTTAAAGTACTTCTGCTTGTAAGCGAAGCCTGTAAATGAGTGTATAACAGTTTGAACATGATTTTTTGACTGTACTAGGTACTATAAACACTCTATAGAGCACATACATACTCTTGGACTTTGTAGAACACCTGTTTTAGAATGTGTTATACATAATTTATTATATTACTTCAATTATTTTGTTTTCAAATAAAAAACAACTGAATTTCCTATTTACAAACGTTAAGAGCACTTAGCATTAAACTAGCTGTAAGCATTTGACATGCACGTTAACTTAAGCTGCTGTTAAATGTTAAGCGACTGTAAAGCCGACAGCGCAGACTTTACTGTGCAAGCAAAACATATACAAATATAGATAACTAACTCCCATACGTATGTATGTATGTGTGTGTGTATATATCTGACTTGAATTGTAATTTACAAATTTAGAGCAGAAAATCAACAGGTGCAACAAAAAAGTTACACGAACTGAAATGAATGCCAATTACAAAGCTTAAGCTAAAGCAGATATATAAATATACATATGTACATACATATATGCATACGTGATATATATCATACAAATGAGAAATATATATATATATACATATATATATTGAGTACGTTCCGCTTTATATAGGAATTCATGTCTGCACAGAATTCATTCAACTAAAAAAAAAAAATGTAAAAAAAAGGATAAGAAATATATACATATATATATATATGATCTATATATACATATATAGTAAATATTTACAATACAATTGCACTATGATTAGCCAGTTTAGGTTTTTGCGACTATTTGGAACTGTGTCGTCCCGCCCGCTCCGTTGTGGGATCGGCCAGCTCCCAGGCGGGCCGATAGCAGGGCGTGACCGCCTCTGCTCCGGCCGCCGCTGCAGCCGCCGCACACTCGGCGCAGAGCAAATGCGGATTGGGAAAGGTGTTGGACTTGTAGCCAATCGATGTGTAGCCCCGCGCATAGAGACTGCAGTAGGGCACCTTGTATATGTGGATGTAGTGCCAGATGTCGTGGTAGCTCCATTCCAGCAGCGGATTCAGTCGCATCATGTCCGGCCAATCGCTGTCCGTTTTCTGCAATAAATCGAAGTGTAATTAGAATGGGCATGGTCTGGAGTTGGGCTCAGTTTACCTGCATCGCTTTCAGGTTCTCGCAATAGGGATCCGTATTGCGGCTGCCCACAAAGACGGCCTTGATGAGCGGCATGTCGTGGGTCATCTGGGTGAGCGCCACCTTCAGCGAGTCCTTGTACTTGATCAGCTTCACCTTGTAGCGCCTCACACAGTGCTTGACAAAGTCGTCGATCTCCTCGAACGAATCGTCCGACTCAATGTAGAGCATCGGTATCTGGCCGCTGTCGATGTTCCGCTGGGCGCAGTAGCCCATCAGCAGATCGAGCAGCACTGTGCAGTCCTTGCCGCCATTGAAGCAGAATATCAACTGAGAGATCTTGTACTGCATCAGCGTCTGGTCGAAGAAATCGTACGCCGTGCGAACGCGACGCTTGATGTGGTCCCGGGTGGCGTCTGTGATGGCTACGGGGCAGGTGGCATTGGCATCGTTATGATCGTCGTCTCTATCGTTGTTATGGCAATTGGACATAATGCTCTTGCCACCGATACCGTTACTGTTACTGTTACCGTTACAATTGCCGCGAATCTTCTTCTTTTTGCTGAATGCTGTGGACTTTGTTAGCGTGGTCTGCTGTTGTGTCTGAATGCAGCATTTATGCATTTTGCTGTCGAATTATCAAGAATTAATAAGTTGCGCCTGCAGCTGCTTCTCCCGTCTCCTGCTCTCACTCTCTCTCCCTCTGTCTCTCTGGCAAGCTATGGGCTCTGGCAACCTGAATAGAATGCGCCGTTACATTGACAATTTCATACAACAATTAACTTTCTCCAAAAATCAATGTGACTCCATGTGTGTGTGTGTGTGTGTGTGCACGGCGTTGCTTTTATATAATAATTATCAACATTTAACAATAGCTTGTTGTAGACTGCGTTATCTGCACAGCAAATTACATCACATGCACACGTTACACATACACACGTGCGCTGTACACACACATACACACACAGCCGCGTTCTGTGCTACATACGTTAATTCAAATGGGGAATGTTAGTGGGGTTTGCACGTTACTAATATGCCATTAATGTTAACATTGCGCTTTTTTGTTTTAATCTCAAATAATTGCTGGACAGTGCTGCCACAGCGCCAAAGTACAACAAAACAGCTGTTGTGCGGTGCAAACAGTCCGGCAGCGCTGCTGCAGTGTAGGGTGTAAAACGAGACTAAGAATTTGATTTGAATTTGATCAGTTGATTTTTGTGAAACATATTTTTTGCATATCTATGTATATATATTTTCCTATTCATATTTATTTGTTGTGTTTTATTTATTTTTGTAGCAGTCTGGCAGCTCCGGTGTGCGCCAAAAATTGGCTGGCAGTCTGGCCGCACTCTGCCGTGCAGTGCTGTAAAATGCCACAAAAATTTAAATTTGAATTTGTTTTGATCTTTGCGAAAAGCGTTTTATTTTGCATTGCATGACATTTTCTTCTTATATTCTGTTTTACATTTAACAAATATGTGTGTGTGAGTGTGAGTGTGTTTGTGTACATGTAACTTTAACAAAAAAACAATAGAAATACATTTAATTGCTATTATATTTAACAAATGGGCACTGTCGGTTGTTATATATGTATATTTTACGTTTTTGTTGGTTTGTTTTATGTTTTTTATTTTGCTAAACATCCAAATTGTCCAGCACATTGTCAATGAGTCCTACGACCTTTTGCCTAAATCGACGATTCTGCTTGCCGCTCATTTCTTTCAGATATGGATGCAGGCTGATTAAAAACGAATAATCGGCGTCGGGCTGAGCGAGCGTCAGACCAGGTGTTGACGCTGCCGACGCCGGCGCTGCCACAGCAGCGGGCGCAGGTGTGCTTGCACCTGGTGGCGTTGCTGTCAGATTATTGCAATTGCTGCTGCTGCTGTTGTTGTTGTTGTTGTTGTTGCTGTTGTTGTTGCTGGTGCTGCCGGTGTTGTTGTTGTAGTGCAACTGGTTGGCGCTGCCTTTGAGCCACTCGGCCATCGTCCAGTCCATGTTGCTGCGCAGCGCCGCCGCCATCGAAACGGGCAACGTGACCAGCGAATGCTGTGCACCAACAGCAGCAGCAACAATCTTATCCGTGCCCTGTTGCTGGTGCTGCTGGTGCTCCACTTTGATGGCCTGCAGTCGCAGGGGCGAGAGACCTGCTGCTGCCTCCTGCGGTTGGTGGTCGTCCTGCTCGTCGTGTGACTCTGCCGCCTCCTCCTCATCCTCGTGGCTGCCATTGCTGTCTTTGGTGTCCTCCTCCTGCTGATGATGGCGTTGCTGCTCCCGCTCCCTCTCCCGTTCGCGCTCCAGCTCCTGCAGCTCTTGCTGATGCAACTGATGCTGCTGCTGCTGTTGCTGCTGATGATGATGCTGCTCCAGGAGTCGCATCTGGCCAATGCGAGTCAGATACGTGGCCGCCGCTGCCGCCGTTGTCGTCGAGGTGCTCGGCTTGCGCAGCACCATGCCGCCGGCGCTCGGGCTCGAGTTCGAGTTCGAATTCGCATTGAGATTCGAGCTGGGATTCGGATTGGGATTGGGCGGCTGCCCAGCGAGCGGCAGCTGCTTGTGACAGGCGCGCGACTTTGTGTAGGGTATCAGAAACTGCAGATACTTGGACAAGTAGTACTTGCGCTTGCCACGGCCCGTCTGGGTGCGCGCCAGCTTCAGGGATCGCAGGAAGCTACTCCGAATGGTGCGCCAACGCTCACGCGAATTCCGAACTGCAATGGAGACGATTCGAAGGGAGATATTAAATGGGGATATTAGAGATTCGGTTGGGGGTATTCAGTGGGTATTGAAATTCGGAATAAGAACAAGTTTGGGAATGATTTTGACTGATATTCGGAAAGAATCGACTGATATTGCCGAAGAATCTGAATATCCTTGGATAAGAAGGCTTAGAGTTCGGAATGACGAAAGAAATGCGGAGTAAGATGTCAAGGAGTAGAAATTCTACAAGGAGTAGAGTTCGGAGTCAAAATAGGGTAGTCTAATATAAAATCCTGGAGCAGATTTCAGAGTATTTGGAGTATTGAGAACAATAGGACCTACTATTGGAACTATTGGAACGAAATGAATGAATACTCCGAATACTCTACTATCTGTTCAGTTACTGCACATGTTTCCTAATAAAGCATTATTATTATTCAGAAGGAAAGAAGGATTACTATCTAAGTATAATACACTATGTAGCATAAACTACAAATGCGTAAGGCAACATCTAATGAAATGACTATATATACATACATATGTATGTCTATATATTATAAATATATTATAAATATTTTCATTATTATATTATATATTATAAATATATTCAATCAAATTTGCACTAAATTCACTATAAGCAAATAATTTAAAATAATTGTGCCCCAGACAAACAGGTTCGTCATTAAAATTTACTTAAAAATGCAATGAAAGCAAACTTTCGATGTCAGCCTTAACGCCATGCGTCCCCTCTCATGCCAGCCCTAACCTAATTTCGTTGTCAAATCCTTTAGCAGAACAGAATTAATGCCAGTGCTGCATAACGTATGCATGTGCATGTGCATGTGTGCTTGTGTGTGTGTGTGTGCAGCAACCGCTGAGCGGAACTATTAAGTGGAACTAAATTCAACTTATGAAAATGAACATTTAATTGGCCAATCAAAAAAGCTCATAGCCCAGTTCAGTTCAGCGCGAATCGACTCGGCTCGGCTCGGCTCGGCTCAGTATGCTGCTGCCAAGGAGAATGTGCAGTGCTGCACAATGCACGAAGCGGTCGGCGATCTGTGCGGCAACAAGTGTTGGCAAATGCCAACAAGTGACAGAGAAACATGCATATATATGTATGTATGTATGTATGTAAATTCATGCAGGGTATTTCCACTGCGCTGCAGTTGCTGAACTTTTTTAATTACATGCCAAAAGCGGCTGCAGCAGCAGCAGCAGCAATAGCAAAAACAACAACAAAACTAATTGCATGCAAACGCCGCGCGCAGCTATTGCTGTGTGTGACACAGTGACACACCTACACACACACACGCGCGCGTGCATGCTAAGAGGCATTTAATGCATTGAGTGCAAGCGAGTTGGCACGACTACAAATTGCGATTGCATTGAACACACACACACACACGCACACGCAGGCAAAAGCTTGCATCATAGGCGCGCGCGCCAGCACACACACACACACACGCGCGTACAACAAATGAGCACGCAATTGCAAAAAAAGCAGCAATAAACGAATATGGAAATGGAAATCTACAAGTGCAGCAGAAATGAAAAGTTTTGCCTGCTGCACACACACGCACTGTCTGTCTCTGTGTGTGTGTGTGTGTAATTATATGCACCTGTGTCCTTTATTTCATTGGCCACATGTTGCCAGGCCTTTTGCACCTCCTCCTTTTTGCTGTAGCCCGGATGTGTATAGTTCCAGAGGCAGGGCTGATTCTCGACCAGCTGCACGAATTTCACATTGAACACGGGATCATCCTTGCGAGCCATGCTCCTAGCGCTTTGCAACACTGACACACTGCACCGTTACAATGGCAGCCAAACGCATTACACTCAAAGGAAATGGCCGCAGCAAAGAATGAGAAAAAACAGAACGAAAAACAAAAACAGACACTCGAATTTGCGCGCGCTCGCTGGCTAGCTCTGTTTCGCTCTTGCTCTCTCTTCCTAACTGTACTTTTGTCTTGCTCGCGCTTAATAAGCAGCTGCGAATGCAACAAACGGTATCAAACTAATCTGTGCGTCTGTCGAATTCAGTTTTGCTTTTCAGCTGTGTGTTGGGGCAAACACAGCAACAACTTGTCGCAACGAAAGCGCCGAGAAAACTGAAAACTGAAACTGAGCGCAAAAAAAAGCTAACAAATAAAAGCTGCAACGTAAACAATGCCAAAACGATTTTGCGGCAGCGGCTGCGGCTGCTGCTGTTAGAATCAACATCAAATGCAGCAAAAAACTGCAGCAACAACAACAACAACAACAAGTAGAGGCAAAGCAGCTGCAGCGCTAATGATTAAAATAAGCTTGTGTTTGTGTGCGTGTATGAGTGTGTTTGCTTGCAAAAGCTTTAGCTCTAACGATGACGTCGCTGGCGGCATTTGCTGCACACAAACAGGCACACACACACACGGATATCTCTAAATGCATTTACATATGTAGCTATAAGCTGCCAAAAAGGCGCCAACAGCTAGATATTGCGCTTTACAGCACTGAAACGGCGCTAGCTAGTGTGCCGACTGCAGTTCCGCAGCTAGTTCCAGACAGAGCATATGTAATGCAATTTGCTTTTAGAATTTATTATTTTTAGGCACTATGGTTGACTTAACTTCATAGAGAATATTTAAATTTTTTTGCTAATTTAATTTACAGTTGGGCGCAATGGCCAAAAACGGCCACTTTTCAGCAGTCAGCGTGCGCAGTGGCAACGCTGTTGATCACTGGTTCCGCCAGCTAGTTCCGCACAGCGCATATGTAACACAATTTGTGGCTGTTGTTTTCATTTTGTTTTTCTTCACTAAAATCAACTAGAAATAATAATAAATGGCAGCCAACGCCAAAGCCATCGTTAACACGCCGCTGCTGCAGGGACTGAAACAGGTGAGTGATTCGCCCATCTGCCTAGAACCGTTGCTAATTGTCCAATGGTAAATGCTCCCTTGCAGCTAGTGCGCTCACTGCACACGGACTGCGCTCGTCTGTCCAGCTTTCGCTCGTCCAGAGAGGTGCAGCCACTCGAACAGTATCCCGAGGTGGAGGTGCTGCACAATCCGCCCGAATGGAAGTACGTGGAGCGCCTGCTGCCGCCACGCACCGTGCCCCAGCCCGTCGCAAAGCCAGCCTATCCGTCCGGCTGGAAGCCCCAGACGGCGACTGGCCAGGAGAGCGGCTACTTTGTGGCGCGCACCAAGAACCACATGTTGCCCGTCTATCTGAATACGCGCTTTCGCGGCCAGCGCCGCCTCACCATCGTGCGGCTCATCCAGGGCGATATCTGGGCCCTTGAGCGGGATCTGCGCCAGGTCGTGGAACAGTCTAGAAATGGCAAACTCTGCGCCACGCGTGTCAACGAGCTGAGCGGCCAGATTCACATCCATGGCGACTATGTGGATCTGCTGCGGGAGCATCTCAAGAGCAAGGGATTCTAATTTTGTTGCAATAAACAGTTAAATGTTAAAATTCTCCAAGTTTCTTCTGAATGGAATTCCGCTGAATTTTATAGCTAGGCTCTATTTAGAAGCCCGAACCCGCAGACCAATAAGTACACTTTGATTTTTACCCATTTTTCACAACTTCAAGTGAATTCTTTATGGACTCTCTTCTTCCGATAAACATATTGCTCACAGTCTAAAAACATGTTCCTTAAGATTTGCAATATTATAAACTAGTTTTATATTTAGAGTTTCATGTAAATTGTTTTTCACACACCCACACATTTTCCACAACTTTCAGTGAATTTGATTTCACTCCAGTGGATTTCTTATAGATCTATGTACATATTGTATGTGGGGGGAAATTGTTGCACAGGATCTCACGGTGTATCCTTAACTAGTCGCAATACAACAAATTTGGCGGATTCGAACAGCTTCGATTTCCACACATTTTCCGCTCAAGTGCGTGATTTTCTAATTACATCATATCAATATCTAGCTTAGGTGAAATGTTTGCTTTGCTTTATGGTAATGAGAAAAAAAATTGACTTTATTTAATGTACAGGTCTGAGATAAACATATATCTATGTATATGTATGGGGATGTGATATCAGCATGGGCAACAAGATGCAATTTGTTGGATGATTCTAGAATACCAGGAGCAGGAGCACAGGCAACTGTATATAGCTATATGTACAATATTGAAATATATATATATATATATATATATATATATATACATATATATATATATATATCTTGTGCAATGCAAGATTTATACTAAAATTTGGACAATGGACTTATGTATAGGGTTGCCTTTGCTCGAGGGTTGACATTTTGTTGTTGTTGGTTTTTCTTTTCCTTAATTTTATATACTAAAAACAATTAAAAAAAAAGAAATGTGTCAAGCATAGAGGCTCACACGTGCGTGCATGATTATTAGAAACATAATCATCGTTTAACAGATATAACTAATGGACATTCCGGTTAGTAGCCGACGCTACCTTTCGCTGCCGTCAGGTGAGCTTCTTGCTGCGCGCCTGGCCGTAGGCAGCCGAACGCCACCGTTATCCATTCGCGCCGGCCATCGCCGTCGGTGTCAGCGGCATGCCGACCAGATTGGGCGTCGACGCCGCCGACACATTGCCGGCGGCCGTGGATGAGCGCTTCAGTGCTTTACGTATTATCGTCCAGTCCTCCATGATGTCCTCCTCGCGCAGCATATAGACCACATACGGTCCGGTGACCGTGACGGCCTTCTTGCGTCCTGGTCCGCGCACCTTGCTCTGGCGCTTATCGTTGCCCCAATCGTCCCAGGAGATGTCCACATTGTGGCGATCCTCTTCGAGGCGGCGTATGCGCTCCATTAGATCCTCGCGCAGACTATCTATGGCCATTTGTTTCTCGCTCTGCACACGACGGAAGGCGAATTTCTGTTTAGCAAATCAATTCTCGGTACGAGAAACTTCAGTTCACTCACCTCAAAGTGTTGGGTGGCTGCCTGCTCCTCGGACAGATATTTGTGCTCGATATTTTGCAGGCGAAACTTGCGCAGCACGTCGGCCACTTCGATGCGAGTGCGATAGACTTTGTCCAGTTCCTTCTGGGGCTGGACAAATTCCTCGGATCGACCGGAACGCACATCCGCCAGCTGCCGTTCGATGTGATTGATGCGTTCGCAGTAATACTGTTCGCGCAGCTGACTAAACTGTCGGTCCAAGCTGGCTGCATTACATAGGTTATACATCAGTTAGTATGAACTTTCTCAAATTGGCGCCAAATCGTACGTACCCAAATCTTCGATGTGTTCGGCGCGTCGCAGTTCGATTTCGGTGGCATCCATTTCGGAGGAATCATCGGAATCGCACTCATTGGCCTCCTCCTCCTCGTCGGAGGTGTCGTGCGCCTGGCTGGAGTTCGAGCGCTCCGACTCCGCGCCAGAGACGTCGCCCTCCGCATCGGATTCGCCATTTTTTACAGGCATTTGGGGGGAGGGGCAGAGATAACTGCTATCCGAGCGCGCTATACGTGTGTTTTGTGTTTCTTGTGTATATGTATATGTGTGTGTATAATAAACAAGCACTGCACTCACTGGAGCAACTCAACTAAATTGTATATTCTTTAAAAAATTCTTTTATTCAACGAAATTTATAGAAATTCTCGTAGCTAGCGAACATTGTTTTGTACTGCTGCTGCAAAAAGTGTTGGCTGACGACACAAGGCCAGACAGTGCTGCACAGCGCAAGGCAATCGATAGTTTTTGATAAATCGATGTATATTCAAACTATTTATGCGCACTTATTAAATGTAAAACCAGAAGTCCGTTTACAATTTATAAATACACTAAAATAACCAAATTATCGAGGACTATATGATAGTATAATTATTTGTGTAGAAAAATCCACAAAATAAACACAAAAGTCAAATACCAAATATTTACAGAATACGGTCACACGCAGGCGCCAGATCAACAGCTGACGTATGAGTGTGAGGCGAGAGAAAAAAATAGACGAATAGACGAAGCAAACGAGAAAAACAAATATAGGCGCTGTCGATAAATACGTGTAATATAAATAAGAAGCGTGATAAAATAATTCCACATATTTTACACTAGCGAGCCATGGAAACGCCGACTGCCGATGATTTGCTACAGTTTCGCGACTACAGCGCAACTAACAGCGGCACACCAGCGCAAATCAATGTCAATTCGCCAACGCATGCTGCTAGAGGCGGTGCTGGTGGTGCGGGTGGTGCAGGAGGCGGCGCTGCCAATTTCAATAATGGACAGCGTCAGCGTGGTGATCCACTGTCCGACTTGATATACGACATGAGCAATTCGGCACAAAATATTATTGGCGGTAGCGGTGGTGGAGGCGGCACCGGCGGTGCTGGCAACGATGGAGGCTCAGCCGATGTCGGCGCTGGCGGCGCCAGTGGAGGTGCTCGCGTCTCCTTCCTAACCATCGAGTACTATCAGCAGTTCTTCAATGTCGACACGTACATGGTGCTGGAGCGCATTGCCAACTCCATGATACCCAAGCGCGCCTCGGCCAACTATTTGCGCATGAACATTGGCGAAAATCCAGATCTCTATGGTCCCTTCTGGATAACCGTAACGCTGGTAACTACATTTCACTCGCTATACGTAAATATCGATCCATCATGTATCGTCTCTCTCTCTCTTTCTTTCAGATCTTTTCGATAGCCATCAGTGGCAATTTAGCCAGCTATCTGCAGCAGGCCGACGATAGCTATCATTGGCATTACAATTTCCATTTGGTATCCTATGCAGCCACCTGCATCTTCCTCTATGCCAACATCTTGCCGGCCATCCTCTGGGCCCTCTTCAAGTACAGCCTCAAGCCTGTCGATGCATCCGATGCTGTGGAAACGGAAAGCGTTAGTCTACACTCTTCTCTATGTATAGCCATCTCTTACTCATTGCGTGTCTCTCTCTCTCTCTCTCTCTCCCTCTGGCTATCACAGGCTAGCTACACACCGAGTCTTTTGTCGCTGATGTGCATCTATGGCTACAGTCTGGCCATCTATATACCCGTCTCCATACTCTGGGTGATCAATGTGAGCTCCATCTGGATTTACCTATATACATTGCTCATAAAGTACAATTTCCTTTGCAGATTTCACTGCTACAGTGGCTGCTCGTTATCACGGCTGCCCTGCTCTCCGGCACAGTGCTGATTGCCGTGCTGACGCCAGCGCTCCGCAATTCACAATATTCGCTATTCCTTATCATTGGCATACTCGGCGCCCACATCATTTTGGCCGCTGGCTTTCTGCTCTACTTCTTCCACAGTCCGCCGGAGTCTGCCGCGCTGCTGACCAAAGCCACGACAGCGCTGCCCCTTAAGGCCTTGCCGAAGCTGTCCACGCAGGCCGTCGTTGGCGATTTGGCGGCCGCCAATCAAACGGGCTAAAAGACATCATTCCAAATAATATCCCAAACACTGTTTCTGTACATTAAGTTCTACACAGGATTTTTACACGTTTGCCTCTCCCTCCCTCTCCCTCTCCCTCTCCCTTTCTTTGTGTCCAACGCGAATAAGTTTTTAGTCGTAGAATCTATAGACGGAGAGTCTTTTGCACCTTGGCAGTATCTGATAATATATGCAATCGTGTCTATAGAAACTATATTTGCTAAAAATGATAAATTTACCATTTGTGAATTTCTTTAAATTTAAATTTCAAAGTTTTTTCATAAACCAAAAAATTTTTTTTTTGTATTTATTCAGGAGTATGTCTTATATATTTAAGGAAAATAAATATAGTTTTTGTTCAGGAGCTTCAGTACCATGCTTAACATATATATCATTTTTGTATATAAATAAATACATATATCTTATATTATTGTACTGGTAATACGTGTAAATCATGTCCTAATTGACTTATTTTTCTGTATGTGTGTGCGTGTTTTTGTAATATTCTAAGAACTTATAGTTAAATATAATACAAATTCAAAATCTAAGAGATGGTCTATCTCTATCTCTATCTCTATCTCTATCTCTATCTCTATCTCTATCTCTATC